ACATCAAAAATTTTTTTTTTTCTGTATTTTTTTTACTTTTTTTTTTTTTTTTTTTTTTTTTTTTTTTTTTATGGTACAGCTGTTAAATGAAATCACCATTCAGCCCACGGCTGCCCCCGTTCTGGAGCAGGTGGTGGAGCTGAGCATCCTCCTGACCGGAGAGGTCTTCAGCGACGAGCTCAGAGATCCAGCCAGCCTCAAGTTCCAGACGCTCAGCAGAGATCTTGCGGAAAAGGTTTGTCTCAGGCTCCATCTGGGTCTGTTTTTTGCCGTGGGAGATTATTGTCATTGAACATAATCTAATCGCCTAATGCCCTGTGATTCCTTGCATTGTCTTTTTTAAATGCGTTTTAGCGACAGCAGTAGCTAAAGCTTAGCACCATGGGCTCAACGCTTGCAGGTTTTAGAGTTTGCAGTTGGTAATGGTAAAATAATGACTTCTTGTTCTGGAAACACAGCTTTATAAGATTTAATGGGAAAAGATAAACCTTTGCACATGTAAGTATTTGTACAGATACTGTTTGAAGCAACTTTTACAAGGACCTGGAAAACTTTGTAAATGTGTCTGTGAACATCTGTTGCATTAACCACAACTAGGAGCCACAATGTACTCCCAAATACAAACATAACTCATAGACAGCATCTTGGATAAAAATCTGTATTTCTTTTTACATAATTGTTGTGTTTCTTTGTTTCTGACTTTCTTCTTTTACCTTCTGTGGGGATTTTCAACATAAATAAATCAGCATTGCATACCAACACCCACCTTGCATGCATGCAGTCTTGCAAACCCTAAGGAGAACATGTACCTGCAACCTGAACGTTTTTTCAGTCATTCGCTTTCATCCTTTTGTCTGAAAGTTTCGATAAATTGGTTGAGGGAAGCAATGCATGTAGATTTATTTTATGTTGAGGAGCAAGACCTTTTCTTGCTAAATAAGATTATTGGTAAAGTGAAGCATCAATTAGAGATTTGTGGCCACTTCACCGCCTTTGTTTTCCTCTAAAGCGTCAACCTGCCAACTCCGATTTTGATACATTTTGAAGAACTGTAAGATAAATGAACAGCAACTAGAATATTATTCTTTCCTTTCTATTGTGAGCTATGAGAGACAATAGTCACTGTAATCTTCTTGTCAGTCTTGCTTTCTCTCGCTCTTTTGCAGCCTGATTGAGTATAAGAATCGCTTCACGCATCCGTTCACTTCCTACGATGTAATTTTAAGTTTGAAAGAGCTAACTTTGAGTCTTCTCTCAGTAACAACATCCCCACTGAAGAGCGTTATTTTCATTGCAGCCAAAGTCAGAACTGATGACGCTAAAAATCCTTTGATGATGGTCTCAAACTGATTTCTCTCTGCTTTAATCACAGCATATTGGACTTGTGTTTCTGCAAACGAGTTTTGTTACAACACTTTGAGAATTAGAACAAATCATGAGCAGTTGCTTTAATCTCATGCCTCACTGTGTTTGTGCAGATAGAAGATGCTCTAGAGGGGCTTCCCGGCTTTAAGAGTGTGTCTGTAATCGACTTCAGGTTAGTTTCTGATCGCACACCTCATGTTTTCATGCCAACGCCACCTCTGCTGTCAGCAGAAATCTCACTGCTCCTCCCTGTTTATCTAGACCACAGAAGGACTCTCAGTGGTGAGTTGCTGTGTTGTTTAACCCCGCAGATCTCTTATCATTCCTCTGGTAGATTTAGATGTATCGCTAGTTGCACGTATTAATGATCTTAGTGCGGCCACCCACTTGTTAAGTGGGATCAGGATGGGTCCTACCAAGAAATCAGGTGCTATTATGTGAGGTTTATAACCTCACGGAACTGAGTAAGAGAAGAGGTTTATGACATGGAGTCAAAAGAAAAATATCAAAGCTAATATGTTATAAAAGCAACAGAACAAAAAAATTAAAGCCATCTGGTATACAAACTGAAAAAAAAAAGGAAAACAGATTGGAAAAACTGTTTCGGAAGTTGCAAAACCCACCATCTGAAAGCAAAACAACCATATTTTTACCTAATGTATTAATAAGTGGTACTTAGTTCATTATGAAATCTGTGATGAGTTTGAAGGTTGCATGTTTCCATTATTGATTCAAGATGCAACCTTGAATCAATAATGGAAAGTTATGTTTTTGCATAACGAAGAAGCAACAACGATTTAAATATTGTCACGTATCTTTACAAAAAATAGCTTTATGTTCATCCTAAATATAAACAAAAATGAAGCCATATAATGAGAAATATGTTTGAGCTGTTTTGAATACTAACACGTTTAAGTAGTTTATACAATTAACTTCGGTTGCAATAACTTGAAATATTTTTGAACCACTCTTCCACACATTTCATTAGTTCTTTAAATCTGGTGGTCGTTTTTCCACCGCAGCTCTCTTCAGCCTCCACAGAATTTCCAGCACATTTGTTATTTTCTCCTAAGTTGTTTTTTTTTTTGTAGTTTTGTTGCTCATTTTGCCATATCACCCTGTTTGTCACATCAACCCCCTCTGCCACCATGCTTGAGGAGTTTGTGCTTTTATGTTGCGTTTGGTTCTTGCCACAATTCTCTATTGTTGTTTCATCTGTTCAAAGGATATTGTTACTAGGAATCTTGTGGTTGATTCAGCTGTACAAACCAACGTCCAACTGCAACTTTTTAAAGATATTTGATATTTAGCATGCTAACTGAGCTCTGTAGCATTTGAGACGGAGCTCTTGGATCAACCAATTTCTCTGAGTATTACACACTGATTAGGACATCTCGTCTTGGAGTGATTGGTTGCCATTTTCGAATGTGGAATCCTCTTTACTGAACTTTTATTGAACTTTTATATGCATTGCCATTACCGTAAGGCACTTCCCAGATTGACTGGAAGCAATAACTGCTTCTCTAAACTCATAGCTGATTGTTTTTCCTGCCTTGCATTGGGTTAACACTCAAGCCTGTGTGCTGCAAATGACCCAAACCCGGGTTTTATAGAGTGGAGGACTGCTTCTGATGTCTTTAGACTCTATTTTTGCTTTGGTTTTGTTTCACAGATATTTACAGTTCAGCGTCTGGTGTGCCATGCGGAGTTGGATCATTTTATTCTAAAATTGTATTCATGCGTAATATCTCCCTCTGAAAGTGGATTTCAGCATTAGACTTAAGTCTGTCGCTGAGACTAAACTGGGAGGGAAACAGGATCTCTGAGTTAGCACATACTCAGCTGTCTGCCAACGGCCCGTTAGGGTGGAGGAATAACAGCAGTCGAATGAAGGCTAATGAATGGCTTTTTCCAGGAGTGGAGGTCTGCTGTGAGCTTTTCACGTTTGTTATGATCACACTGGCATTTCGGCTGACTCGGGCTTTGGGGATGTGGGGGGGTTTCATTCTGGAGAGGCATGCTCCTGCGTTACAAGCAGACATAAATCACCGAAGTCGTCTGTGAACTCATTTTTTACTGATTCTTAATTAAATCAACGCCTTAGTAATTTTTTCTCTCGGGATGTTTTTTCTTGAATCCAGTGCCGTAATATTGCTTGTGCCCACAGAGATATTATATATCATCCTGATGTTTTCTCTCTGTCTCCGTGAATTTGCTGTTTCTCTTCTGTATGACAACATTACGTTTGTGTCGCCAGGCTGGATGGCATAGTGGTGGATTACGCAGTCACGGTAGCGGTGGACGGAGCCGGGGTGAGCTCTGAACAGCTGAACTACCTGACCCTGCAGTCCAACCTGGTGGAGAACTCGTATCGAGAGATCAAGGAGCCCCCCACAGTGGTCTACACCATCAGCGGGATTAAAAACATCTTCACCGAACCGCATCACATCGACGAGCTGGAGAGTGGTAAGACTGCAGCCCGCCGCGATGATTTAGTCACATGTTTAAGTGCGGCTGTTTAGATGACTGTAAATGCTTAGAACTGGTTCATGAATGCGTTGCAGATTTAAGCTGCATGTATCGTTTCAATAAGAAACACAAGGATATCTGTAACTTGCTTAATAAGAGTTGACCACAGAAATGGCAGACAATAAACACTTGTCTGTGGAGTGAGGCCTTTCAAAAAAGGTGTGTAGAGGGTAAAAGCTTTTTAAATTGAACAAAGTTTCACCAATTATCTGTTTTTTAGGAGGTTTTTTTTTAGCCATTTTTTCTCCTCTTCTTTTGATAGTCAAAAGGCCACAAACATCGAGCGACTTCTCTCAGAAGCAGATTTGGAGGCAACTATTTATTCACGAAGAGTGACCCATATCATGATATTTTAATTAAGAGCACACATAAAAGAAATGGTAAAAGAAAAGAGAAAACAGTCAAAAATATATATGAATTTTTTGCACCGTTGTTTAATAGAGCAAACGTGCAAGATGCTTTTGGTGTTTCAGACATACTATTGTTTATCCCTGTCTATATTAATCAAATAACTTTTCATGGGTTTTGATTAAAATTTAGGTCAATTTTAAATCTGATCAAACACATTCACATCTTCACATGTTTTTTTTTCTTCTTTCATGTTTGAAAAGTAGTATGCACACATTTAAATCATAAATTGTACACCATGACAAACTCCGTCAACTGCAAATGAGATATTTACACTTCAAAACAATATATAGTTTTGTAATTGCAAAACATTTCATCAAAATACAATCTTTAGGTAATGATTAAGAAAATAAAAAATGATATATTTTACAAAGCATTTTCCAGGGAGTACTTAAAGTCTCAAAATGTATAAAATCTGACTTGTAATTTTAGTCAATTTATGTATAGACCCATTTCTAAGTGGTTTTATCCCAGTTTACTATTAATAAACCAGTTAACCATCAACTAGAAAATAAAATAAATAGTTCAGACCAATGGTACTGGTCATAAAATAACTTTTTATCTTCTTTTTGGGTGATGTAGCAGCTCATTTTGAACTGGAATTGAACATGTCTGAATGAAATATAGCTCAAAAATAATTTAAAAATTGCTCACGTTTTTTTTTTATTTCCCATTGAAAGCCCTGTTTTCTACACTAGACAAATATTTTCTTAAACATTTAAGAGTCATAGAGGACCCTGCGGTGTTGTCAGATAACTCTGGTTTTATATACTCATTACACTTGCTTTTTGCAGAATTAGAAAGCAGAGGCTTACAACCACAGGACGGGGCACCAGCAGCAATTGTTTCAAAAACATTGGTTAGATTTGGTTTGGCCGGTAATATTTGAACATCTAATTAAAGGGTAACTGGGATAAATAATGGGCTTTTCCATAGTTAAACTCTTTGTTTTCCTTTGTTCTTCTAAGCACATTTAGCTAATTGCAGAAAGAAGATCAAAGGTGTACAACACAGACCTTTTTCACAACATAATGACGCAGCAGAGAACCACTTCTGTCTCTGAAAAACCAAAACTTTTTTTTTCCCTTTCTTTCTAATAAGACCAGTTGAGAAATGTCTCTAGCACCAACCCTAGTTAAGTGCCCAACCCCAGTTGTAACTTTTGGGATATTTTGCAGACATCACCACGTTTTCTTATTCTCCAGCAAGTGAAACACTCTGGAAAAATGCATGTGTGGTTTACAGATCTGTGGAAACCACTGGGCCTTGATAACGGTCTGACTTTATGTTTGACTTTGATGTGATTAAAGTTTTGTGCTGCAGAGCACACCTGGGGTCTGTAATGTCTAATAGTTAAAAGAGACTGTTTTTTTTTAAAGAGCTAGTTACAAACATGCACTGACTGACCAGACCAGCTGAGTCAGCTGGAGTTGTAACACGCAAAGGAAAAGCAGAATTAAAAGCTTTGCAGCTAAGTTTTCAAACTTTTGGAGCCACTAAAGAAGGCAGCGTCATTCAGGTCGACATCACAACACGCTTTGTTTCCTTCTCTGTAAAATCTTTAATGCTTTCTGGAACATAATATGGCTTTAATATCATCTTATTTCATGGGTGATTCAAGTGAACTGGTTTAAAAGAGAGAATTTGGGCTCCTGTAGAGACATTGATGTTTTGTCTAACAATGCGGAAGCAGAATAGAAACATTGCTTCTTTGAAAATGTTAATTTTAGAGTCTCGTATGCCGAGACTGCAACATACAGATAACGAGAAATAACATGCAGATAACATAGTAACGTGCATTCATCAGCACTCAACCATTAGGGCATTAAAATAAAAATAAAAAAGTTGTTGGTTTATAATCCATTTTATTTGGTAAAGATGTGTTTTAGTCTTGACTTGTTGAAGATGTACTCTGGTGCAGCGGCCATTGTGGTGCGAGCAACACTTCCTGTGCAGGTATAACGCAGCTTAACACCTGTCTGTCTCAGTAGCATGGCTTCTTTTCTGTTTCTCACATTGCTCCTTCTTGTAAAAGCATAGCGTGACAGTTTGGATGGAGATTAAGATTATGCTATTAGCTCATTAGACCTAAGGTCTCTCTAGCTACTCACCTCAGAGACCTAGTAACTTCTTACTATCTCTACACGACCTGATTCTCATGTTCAACACGCTACATCTAAGTGACATTCCCTGAGTAAAACAGACTTCGACATGAAGAGTTTGTCTAATTTTGCCTGTAAAAACGCACAAAATTTATAGTTTACTATGGATTCAAGCAGACTGTAAGTAGGTTAGCTGCTTTTTGGGGGATGGGGAGAAATGGGCTCTTGGATGATGTGGTAATGTCTATCCTATCTCTTTGTCCTGCTGTTAAATTTTTCCATGCGCTTTTTTGTTAAGTCAAGCCTGTCATTAGTTTACTGTGTTAGAGAGATTCTCTGGAGATCAATGCCTTCTGATGCCTACGTTAGTTACAGACTGCGACATAAGAAAAAGAGGCTAAACACCCATATGGCCAACATATGTGTCTGCAGAGCCTATATGCACACCTTAGCTTTGTTCTTCTGCTTTGGTGGTGGTGCAGTGATAGGTTTTACTAGCAGTGTCTACTAATATTTACACCCAGAAAAGCTGAAATGTAAGACAGCGACGGTGAAACAACAACAACAAACTTTGGCAGACTCTGTCTTGTGAAAATATTTTAACTTTGGCCACATTCCTGTTTTTTTTTTTTTTTACACGTGACAATGTGTTTTAATATTTTTTTTTTCTCCACTGGTTCCACAGTGTCTGAGATTCCTGAGCCTGTCAGGGCTGCAGACGAAGCGACGGTGAGTAGCCACCTCAACGATCTGCCTGCAGATGGTCTACTTTAGGCTCCACCAACTTGATAAATCACTCATGTTTGAGGTTGCTGACCTTTGCAGCATGACTGATGTTCCGTTAACCTGTAAATGGCTTGAGATGTTATCCAGACTTCACCAGTGCAGCCAGCAGATGAGCTCCCCTGGACGGATGAAGTGAAGGCTTTGAGGATTAGGTTGGCTCTTGCCATACTAATCTACTACTATTCTTGGACAGAAACAACAGTGTACCACACCAGAATTAAGTGACGAGTACCATCTAAACTCTTCCATGGTCATATGAGCTTTCTGATGCATATCGATGCTTGTTTTGCACAAGTTTCATAACACACCTGGTTCATTTTTTTTTTATAAATAACTGAACTAAAAGCTCTTAAATGCACCAACTAAACTTTCTGAATTAAATTTGGAATTGATTTTTTTTTTTCATATCAATTGTATTCAGCCTGCAAGATCTTACTGATATAATTACAGGCTGTCACTGTGCCATTTCATGCAGTATTTTACATTCTTTTAAACATCAGTAACAGCAAACAGCAAGCAAGGTTTCCATAGGAACATCAAGCAATCTCAATACCAGCTAAAATCAAATAACTGAAATATTTTTGCAACAGTGACTTGGTTATTCGAACCTGATGTTAAAAAAGCTTAAAACTAGCATTTCTAAAGTATAATATATATATATTTTTTCTGAACAGCGTAAAGCTTTAATTTCTCCGATATTTAAAATATAAAAATAAATATGAAAAATTTGAGCATTTAAATCATTAGCCAATTAAAGAGAAACACATGCATACGTTTTGTCTGGTCTGAATGTGTGAACAGATCCCATTCTTTACTATGACTCCCACTTCGTTAATCCAATATTACTAACAGGATTAGCTCTGCGGTTCCTTACTGACGTGTGACAGGCGAGCTAGCTCTGGCCGTAAGAAGTGTCAAAGCTCTTGGAACCAAATCTGCTGGTAGACGGTTTCCAGCTTTAGACAAATAAAAATGTTTGAAATAAAGCAGCTGTTTCATGAACTACATTTGGACATTTCAGTCAAGCCTTTAATTAACAATCTCATTAAATTTCTGTTTCATTGATCAAACTGGAGTGGTGTAAGAAAGCACTTTTTGTTGACATGTAACAAACCTGAACCTGTTGTCTTCCAGGCCATTTAAAGATAACTGGATTATGTTTAGTTTTGTCTAATGGAAAGAGTGGCGTTGATTCAGGAAGGGAAAGCTCAGCACAAAGTAAACCCATCAGAATGAATTATATTATTTGCATGTGAAATAGAACAGATGCAAACTATAGATTACAAGATGAGGGATTCTATTATCAGGTTGTTGCCAGAGCAACCAACAGTCGTTTAAAGCAATGAGTATGGATGACCAGACCAAGAGACTGGAAACAAAATTGGTTCCAGGTTGTCCGGTGCAGAATAGAGATATTGTGACACAAGTGTCATATCTGCACCTAAATGTGTGCAGAATTGGAATATTGTGGACAAAAGAATTGGATCATTTGTAAAATATGTGTGTGTGGGTGTCCTCACATACGTTTCCTGCCCATCGTTGAGCTACTGACACCTGTATGTGCCATGTGCCGAGTATGTAAAAGACTCTATCAAATGCCCACATAGAATAGAGTCCACTTGTGTGCGTTATAATCTCAATATAAATCCACCTTTACTGTGAAATACCCAGACTGCAAATTTAATCGGGACTTGGCCGTCCACCTTGGCTGGCAGGCTGGTCAAGAGCTACAGCTCGAGTGGATCTCTGTAGCTCTGCTGCTGTTGATGGTAGAGCGACCCTGGCAGACGAGAAGGAAGTTATTTTTGAAAGAATACCGTGAGAAGTCCCGTAAGAAGGTGCAAACCATTTGTGGTTTACAGCCTTTCTTTAATGTGGACACATAAATGTAAAAGACTTAATTTTGGGGTCACAACAGGGAAAAACACAGAACTTACTTTTTGATTCCTAGAGATCGAGTATTTTCCCTAACAGTAGTGGGTCTTCAAAATGTCAAATGTCCTGCTTCAAAAGAAAGGGCAGCTGTCTTTCATCAATTGGCTCACCACCATAAAGCTGTAAAAGGGATAGAGGTGCATGCTGAGCGCTTATGTGTTTTGCAATCAGTCTGCAGTATTGTCTTCAGTTTCTCTATTTGTGGATGGATTTAGCAGTTTGCCAATGAAAATAGATCTAATAAAGGAATAATGACAGGGAATCCAATCAGATTACCTCCGCATCTAACTCCCTTTGGTGTGAAGTACATGGCCAATCTGATCCTTCTGTCTGCAGGAAGGATCCATACATGGACTTGTGTTTAGCTAACAAAGCCTATTTGTGTTGCAGGGCATTGACCTATCAGAAGTCTTGACCCTGGATCATCCCACTGGCGGTGGATCATCACCACCAGTAGAACTCAACACCCTGGGACCAGAAGAGGACATCGTTATTCTGGAGGAGAGTGAACTAGCGTCACCTGAGGCGGCACTTGCCACCAGTCCACCTGAAGCTGGTAGTAAGTTGTCGACTTTCTTTTCTTGAGCTTTGAAATGGACACCAAGTGTTGCTGTAAAACAGATTGAGTCGTTTCATCTTTGTTTATCCAGGCATTGAGGAGGAAGATCTGTTGCCAGAGGATGCTGTGCTAGCTCCTGCTCCAGAGACCATCCCGCCTACAGAGCTCCTACCAGGACCTCCCTCCCAGGAGACTCCAAAGAGCTCCACGTTGCCTGAGCCGCCAATAGAAACGGAGGCTTCTGGGTCAGGCCGAGAAAACCTGGACAGTTTAATTGAGCCATCCATTGAAGAAGAAGACCAAATATCTCTTGTAGAGACTGAAGATGTTAAATCAGAACCTGAACAAGAAAAAGTTGATGAGGTTGAGATTTTGGAAAAGCCTGAGGTCTCTACAGTTTTAACTAAGACCACAATAGAACAAGGCCAGCCAGCTCTTTTACCCCCAACAGAGACAGTGAATATCCCAACTGAGGCGTCGGAGCCTGATGTAGCCAAAACCACGCTCCACTCTGATGTCGATGAACCTGTGGTTCAGGCACCAGAGGACTCTAGCAAGTTTGGCAAAGACCCTGACCAGGATGTAGGGATCAATGTGATTTTTACCTATCCTGAGGAACCTGCATTTGATGAAAAAGGCTTTGACGAGACAATTGAGAGTGATGGAAGTGAAGTGAAAGAGGGATCTTTGTCTGAAGCCAGGGATATAGAGGAGGAGGCACCTCTGACCCCAGAGATCTTAGCAGGAGATCTTGTGGAGGATGAGATTTTGCTCGTGAACAGAGACGATTCGAAGTTACCTGGGACAGACTTCCCACGCCACCCACTGCCAACTGCCCTGTTTCCAGAGGAGGAAACCCCTTTTACAGTCATCTCATCCATCGTCCCGGATTTTGATGCTCTGCCTGACAAAGCCATCACTTCACTGGTAAAAGTAAAGTTGATATTAACATCTTGAATGTTGTTTCTTTACAATCTGGAATAGAATATGTTCTGTAATGCTCTTTAACGAGTTTAAAAATGACATGATTTCTATGGACCATAACATTATGAGTGCCAGTCCCCCTTTTGCTACCTGACATGGTAGCAAAAGGGGGGAAGACATAAACTTCCCTAGTTGTTGTTCTGTGGATTGAGCATTTTTCTATTGACAGAGAACACAGCTGTCGGACAGTTCTGTTCCCATGAGGAGGTTTACATGGTCCACGCAAAGCTTAGTTAGGTGGTATGTTTCAAAGTAACATTCACATGGATAGGGACCCAAGGCTCCAAAACAAGGAATTGCCCAAACCACCACACTGCCTCCAACATCTTGCCTTCTTCCCTTAGTACATCTTGGTTCCACAGGTTACACAGGTTTGCAAAGCACACACTCACACACATTTCACTTTCTACAAAATGTAAAAGCAAACCTAATCCTATGGATCAATCCAACCAGGTCAGATTCTGATACTGATGTGCCCAATGTGTTTTTTTCAGCAGCTACCTAACTATTGTGTGCTGAAATGAAACATGCTGTGATTCACTGCTTTCTATAATAACCAATAATAATAATATGAGCTACTGACAACACAGGCCAGCCTTTACTTCCCACTCTTCCTTCTCCAGGTGGCTTTTTGTACGACACTGATCATTGCAGACTGGGAACACCTCTCACTACCTTCAGTTTTGGAGATGCTCAGACCAAGTTATTAAGCCATCACAGTTTAATCCATTTCAAACGCAGTCAAATGCTTAGGCTCGCCCATTTTTCTGGTTTCCGACACCTTTTCATTTTTAAAGACAAACTTTTCTATTCTACCATTTATCTCCTCCCCACTCATAGGTGCGATAATAAAGTACTAATCTGTCAGTGTTCATGCCATTATGCCTGATTAATGTATAATGTTGAGCATTCATAGAAGCTTCAAAGATAGGACAATTACTCATACGACATCCAGTAAAGGACCTCTATTGTAACAAGTTTTGAGTCTTACACATCACTTTACATTGAAAAGTATGCCTCTTGCACCTTTACCCTAGACTCTTTGGAGAAAAAGTTATAATTATTTCAATTCTTTAAAATGCAGATGGCATCAATTAGAAGCCAAATTTTTAAGACATTTTTCTGTTTGGTTGAGGTAGACCACTCAGGAGGACCTGGATGATGCCTCCCCTGAAGATCACGGATATGACCTGATTCCTTATGATTACGGCTTGACCAACCAGACAGAGGAAGGCAGCACTGGATCCCCATTCAGTGTGGCCCAAGGCACAGACCAAGTCAGCATTGCCATGCCTATAAACCCGAGGCGAGCTCTGATAGTCTTCTTCAGCCTGAGAGTGACCAACATGGTATTTTCTGAAGATCTCTTTAACAAGAGCTCCGCCGAGTACAAGGCCTTGGAGCAGCGCTTCCTAGAACTGGTAACCACCGACGCTGTATTGCATTTGTTTTTGGTAAAGAGTCCACACCGGCATGCAGCTCGCAAAATCCGATTTTTCTATTTCTTTCCAAGCTTGTGCCCTATCTTCAGTCCAACCTGAGCCACTTTGAGAATCTGGAGATCTTGAACTTCAGGAATGGGAGCATCGTGGTCAACAGTCGGATGAAGTTTGGGAGGCCTGTGGCTCGGGGCGTCACCACCACCGTGTACCTAATCCTGGAGGACTTCTGTAACACTGCGTACCAGACCATGAACCTAGCCATTGATAAATACTCTCTGGATGTGGAGTCGGGTGAGTTTCTTGCACTAAATTAAGTCGATGCTTACACAGCAAACCCATAATTGACAGAGCGAGTCCGTCTTAATGTTGAGCTAAGCAGTTTACTTTCATTATTTAACTACTGTCATCCAGCCGTCTCCTTTGATACTTGGCGTTTCTCAGACTGTCTACTCATCTGTGAACCAACAATTCATTTTGAGAATGAATGTAATATTTGTCATAAATTTAACCACTGAAAAAGTTATCGTAAAACATAGTGATAGAAAACAACACACTGCTGAATCGCATCATGCACTAATAATATAGCTGAACTAAAAGGAATGGATGGCAATGTTTTTATGTGAAAAAGATTTATGCCTGTTTTAATATAGCCAAATGTGCTTCTAAAGACCCTTATTGTGCTGAAAGCTACCACAAATGTGCTTTTGAAGACTTTGGCAGATTTGTTTATCTGTTTCTACCCAATAAAACAACAGACAGATATTATCAAAGTGAGCCTGTCTGGAAATACAAACATAAATCACATGCCAATAATGCAATTACAAAACCTGATATAGAGCGCCCTTAAGCCATTTCTTTTTTTTTTTTTTTTTGGGAGGGGAGGAATCCAATCCCAAAATCTGTATTCTGGTGTTTCCTAATGCTGAATACCTTCTCTTTAGTGTTTTCTATTGCTTTGGCTGCAAGTGTTTTATACGTCTACATGAATAAACCACACAGGAAGTATGCAGATGCATTTTATGCCAATTGTTATTCTATTCACAAGACTGATTTCAGAAGCATTAGAATGATCATTTGATGTCTGTGCTTGCAGTCTAGACTGATGCAGACCTGCTAACTCTGAACTGCAGTGAGATGGAGAGAGTTTGGTACAATGGGCTCAGGAACAACATAGCAGAGAAAAAAGGTGCTGCTCTTTGAGATTTCAAATTGACAAAATTACCTGGTAATTAAGTAATTTAAAGAGTGCTATTTAAATATTAGCCAAGTAAGAGTAAAAAAGTGCTGTGTAAAAAGGCTACTTAAGCCCTGAGTAGTACTGTTTAATCTTTACACTTATGAGCTGGTTCTGGTATCTAATGATGAAATAAAATATGACTAACGGTGAATCTCATTGTTTCAAAATAACAAACACAGGCAGAAAGTAGTCAGACCAAAATACTTTATTCTAATTTACCGTGGAGTCTCCCATGTGCCTTTTGGCAAACTTTAGTCGAGCCTTGATATGAGTTTTCTTCAACAGTGTTTTTTTTTTTCCATTGCCGCTCTCCCATAAAGCATTGACTGGTGAAGAAACCAGCAGCTGCGTGCAGAGTCTGTCCCATCTCAGCTGCTGAAGCTTATAACTCCTGCTGTGTGTGCTGGTGGCCTAGTCCACCAGACTCCTCCCTGCACGGTCACTCGGTTTGTGAGGTTGGCCTGATTGTCAGATTTACACATTCGACATTTCCCTTCCACTTCTGGAAGGAAAAGAGATTTACCTGAACTCCAGGGGAGTTTGTTCATAGCCAGCTTATACTTTTCAATAACGTTTTCTCCGACTTGCTTGGAGTGCTCTTTTGTCTTCATGCCGTAATGGTAGCCAGAAATACAGTTTAAGCAGTTAATGGTTTTTCCAGACACAGGTGTTTTTATACCACGTTCATTGGAGATGCACTCGCTGCACTCAGGTGATCTCCATTCCACTCATTGAGAGAGAGACCACTAGCACCAGCTGGCTAGACCTCTGTAGATTAAGGTCAGTCTTTTTAAAACAGGTGAATATTTATGCAATCACTTACTTTGTTATTGCCATTATTTTGTGGAATAATTTCCACTTTAGCATTAAATTGTTTTGTATTTTTTTCTTCAAAAAGCCAAATTATGTGGATCCTGATTGAGTTGTAAAAGCAGCAAAAAGAGTAAAACATCCAAGGGGTGAACTCTCTTTTTTTAGGTAGCGGAACTTTAACTGCTCTACATTTTTGCACCAAACACAGAACAGATATAATCTCACCCTTTTCACTAAAATAACTCCAAAGAAGGCAATACTGAGTAGCAGAGTTCTCATTGAGCACCAGGCAGAGGGAACAATGTTTCAACAATCATGTATACTGGTGTATTTATGTAAAATGTGTTTTTAAACAGTTTGTTTTGCTGCGAGTTTGTAAATTTGTGATGTTTTTGCAATTTAATCCAATTTTTTCTTTTTCTTCCAATATCCTAAGAGCTGTAAAGATAACAAATAGCACTTTCAGAACTTTGGGTAAATTGTAAACATATTCTTTAGAAATGCATAATAGTACTGAACAGACATGAGCAGCTATATGATAATAATTTTTGTATATTTAAAACATGTTCTATCAAAACAGAAATACCAACAAGCACATAAAAGTTAGTCTTTGCATGAAGTTAAATTCTAAATAAAAAAAGCACAAAACAGGGTTTTCAAACTAAAAATAAATTAGTTGTTTAACATAAATTGATGTTCAGCACACATCTAAAGTTTTATTTTTAGTCAAGTAAATCTGAATACTTTTGAATGTTGCATTTCACTGAGATTAGTGGCTAACAGACCAACTTGCAACATAAAAAGCAACTACACTTATTCATCCACAAAGATATAATGTAAGGGTTTTTTTTTTATGTTGGATTATAAGATAAAAAAAAGCAGCTGAATAGAAATTCATTTGTACCTGTTTTAATTTGAGTGCTTTAATTGCTTTTAATTTCCAGGTGACCAAGCCGACCCCTGCAAGTTCCAGGCGTGCAACGAGTACGCAGAATGTAAAGTGAACAAGTGGTCAGGGGAAGCGGAGTGCGTCTGTAACGCGGGCTACTTCAGTGTCGACGGCCTTCCGTGTCAAAGCATCTGTGAGCTGCAGACAGACTTTTGCCTCAATGACGGCAAGTGTGACATCATCCCTGGCCAGGGAGCCATCTGCAGGTGGGCGAGGGATTAAGACTGTGTTTGTGTGTGCATGGGGAACAAGTCTTCAGCTCTAACCGGCCGCAGTGACTAAACAGATTTTCCAAGTCAGTAGAGTTTAGAAGGAAGAAGTGTAAATACAATTACTTATTTCACTAATTTAAGAGATGTTTGCTTCTTGTGCTGATTTTCAAGATTACAGACCAGATTCAGGTTTGTTTTGAACAAGGTTTTAAATGAAAGAATGCGAGGATTTACACTTTTACAAAGTCCTCAAACGTCGTAGAAATAAAATCATTTTTATGTCAAAGTTGTTTAATATGTGATACATTGTAGAAAAAAAAAATACTATCCCACTGAAGTCAGATTAATTTTTTTATGTCACAATATTGTGCATAAGCAACAAATCTTACTACATTCTCTACCTAATGCAGTTAAATTTCTTATTTGAAATGAAAATTTGATCATTTTTACATCTTTAGTTATTTTCATTTTCAACCACTGACAAATATATATATTAAAAAAGTTCTAAAATTGCTCTGAAGAGTCACTCAGCCTGTAGTTTACCACGGTGCCAATTAGACCTTGTGACAAAAAAATGTAATATACACCACTGAAATCCTGGCAGCATTCAGACTGAAGCCGTAGTTTCTGCTGTGGTTCTGACCAACATCATTAGGCTGCTGCTTTCACATAAAAGGCCCCTGGCTGATTTATCGCTTGACAGCAGACTGAGGCTGAGTTGAGCGACGCACAGTTTAACCTTGTGGTCAGATTCAGTCATTTGTGCATCATCTGTTTGCCTCAAAGCAGAGACAACCTGGCGTATGTCAATAAAGACCAACGCTTAGGAGAAGCTTGCAGTGTGTTCACACAACGTTAACAGACACTTGGAGGTCTAAACAAGGAAGAATATATCCAACAATTTAAAATGCCACAGAAATGAGAGGTGTGTTTGTGTATTGTAAAAGCTGTCAACTAATATAATCTTTCCTTAGACAATTACATCTTGTTGTGATTTTGAGTACTGTTGCTACCTGTTATCTTTATAATGTATTGAGTTTTTTTTTTGTATACTTTACATTAGCAAGACACAGAGTGGTGGTGCAAGAATAAAACCTAATCAATCGATGTTTTATTCGTTTAATTTGCACATCGGAATGTTTTTCCAGAGAACATGGCTTCTGCAAGTCAAACTCTAGTTTTTCCTACGTTTCCTAGCTCTAAAATGTCTCATCTAGCTAAGGCTATAAATGTGCTGAATGAAAGGAAAAATAAAATACTGATTTACAATCACTCTGTCGCTGCAGTCGAATACTCTCCGATTCACTTTGCTCAGATACAAAGAAAAAAGTCACAGCTGAAGCTAATTACCGCGGGTAAACTTGCTGGAGAAACGTTTGGAGAGAGTCGCTATTAATTTAAAGTTAATGCTTACAAACAGCAGATTTGGTGGCGTTGGTCGTCTAGCTGTTTACTTCCTGTTTTAGCTTTCTGTAGTAGCTGGAGTTAACTAATTTGTTTCCTCAATACTCTGGGGTTGTTCCTTCCTTTAAATTCAGGATTCTAGTTCCCAACACAGATTGTTTTTTTTTCAGTCAGATTTTGGTGGGTGCAGAGAAACCTGTCATCACCACCTGTGTTTACTTCCATAAAGCTAATCCATGTTTTCTGCATAAATGGTCTTTGTTTCGAAAGAGCACACTATGTAACTTGTTTCTGCCACCATTTAGCAGCCAAACATTCATTTGACACATTTTCCTCCAACACAAAAACAGTCTGTGCTTTGATTACTGTCAAAGATTTCCAAACGGAGCAGGTTGTGCATCTGGTTTGGAGGGCATGGTTCAAATGACTTATTTCATTTCAGAAAAGCGATCAAAATAAGGTTAAAAATAAATTTGTGTTAATGAGCACCTCTGGTCAATATGCATACCAGCAGATCTCATTTTTAATATGTGTTCAGGTTACATGTTTTGGTCATGATGAACGAGTGTTTTTTTTTTACCAATTCACTTACACACACGAGAGGCAGTTTGTTGTCATTTGCTCAACACAAGCTCATCTGTCAAGAAGAAACACAATAAACAAACAGTTTGTGTTTTGTTTCTGTTTCATACCTTTAAGATTTTTTTTTAGAATATCTTGCTCTTCAATTTGAGTTTTTTCCTTGAAGGTTTCCCCACTTTGATGTCTGCAATGTGTCTACTTTGATCAGAACTTGTGTTTGCATGTGCAACAGATTTATGCATGTGTGCTGAAGATGAAAAGCCAGCATTGGAAATAAGTGACAGGAACTTTTTGTTAGCCCTGCTCAGACTTTGAGATGCAAGGTTGTTTTTTTTTTAACACTCTAGTAATTATGAGCAGACTTGGGGTAGACAAGCCAAGATGACTGCTAACCTCTGTTTCACACCCACTACAGCATTATAACACATGAAGGCAGTGCCACGTGCTGCTGGATTCTCATTAACTTCCAGCTAAAAGTGTTGCATTCCTCCATGGAGACAGAAAACAAATAAGAGATTTTCTTCCATAACAAGTAATCAGTTTTTTTTTAATAAGACAGGCAGAATTGAAATAAATTTATCATCTTTGTTGTGACAAAAATGCAAACAGGAACAACTTTCACGTGATTTATTTGCCGAAACATTTTGATTCTGCTGTTCAATAGAAGTTGAGTTCTGTTATTCAGTCCACAGTTTTACAAATACATTTCAGGCTGACATTTTCCGTCTCCAGGTGTCGTGTTGGAGAGAACTGGTGGTACAGAGGTGAACACTGTGAGGAGTATGTGTCCGAGCCTCTGGTGGTTGGCATCGCCATAGCCTCCGTTGCTGGTTTCCTGTTTGTGGCGTCCGGAGTGCTGTTCTTCCTGGCCAGGACACTTCGGGATCAGTACGACAAGGAAGAGTCGGAGGATCCCGTACGGTGAGGACAGGAGCTAAAAGTACTGAATACCCAAGAGCATCCGTAATTTGACAACAGCCAACATTTCTTTTACCTACAAAACTGAGACAGCTTGGCTATGTCCATCTGCCATTGGGTGAGTAACGGGTTGCACCCTGAACCACCAAAGGGGAACGTCATTGATTTACCGAATGCTAAGAACTTAATTCAAGAACATTTCTTTTAACCATTTATGACCTAGATTTCAAATGTCCGCCTGGATAATTTTTCTTTAAATCTTTAAATGTCCTGTGAGTAAATATATATTGCTTATTTATCCATAACAACTGGAACTTTCAATATCTAGCAAGTTATTTTTCGCAGTTTACCGTCTGCTAAAAGAGCGCCTCTCTGTTTAATTTCTCTCCCTGCTACGGTGGGGGTGAAATTACCGTAATAACCCGACATTGGCTGGAAAGCGCAACGTCTCCCCTCTCAGAAACTGTTGGAGTTTTTCAGGTAACGCAAAATGTGGCGGAATTACGGTACTGCAAATTTGGCTGGATCGTCGGCGCTACCTTCGATCTGGAAGAGTTAAATTAAAGAAACTTTGTGACTCATCATTGTTGTTTTGTTTGGTGTATCATGAATGTATTTTGATTGAAATATTGAGTCAGAGGAAGTTATCCAAATGTGAGCAAGTGGGGGTGTTGACAGTAGGAATGTTTTTATGCTCACATTTGTTGTTTGTTTTCTTATTGGATTATTGTGTGTCGCATCACGTGACCTGTCAGATTTAACACACTATAAAGGGTGTGTGCTGCCATGTTGAACGCTGAGCCAGAAAGTGATTCTGCTAACAATATTTCTGATTGACTTTCAAATGTGGAAATAACGTAAACAAAGTGAAGCGTGCCAAAATGCACATTTTAATAAAAGATAGATAATTTTTGCAGTGTTTTGATCACAGCCTTTAGCTGCTCTGACATGTTGCTAATATACTTGCTACCTTTGGGACCAGGAAGTGTCTTCACAATTTAGTTTATCATGTTCTGGTTGCTATTTAGAAAACCAGTTAGGCTTACTACATGTTGGGATGCTCACTACTAGTAGCAATCAAGCTGATGACAGTGTATTCCTCTCCATTTTATGGGTGTAAACACTTACAAACTATATTCACAAGTAGCGATTTTAAGGAACAGTGTGTGCTTCTTGGTTATTGAGGTATAAACTATTAGAAGTCCTAACAAATAGTTTATATCTACAACTTTAACTATATTTTATATGCGTGGCTGGCAGCCACACTGAATATTGAACTTGAACTCACAGTTGCTCAGAAGAAGACTTTCCAAGTTAAAGTTCTCACTTCAGGGCGTGTTGTTGTGTTCGTACTTGGAAACTTGGAAAATTAGGATTTTGAAGACGAGCACAACAGTCGTGTCGCACGGTTTACCTTAGTGGGTTAGTCATTTAATTCGAGGCTCGGTTTCTCTCCCTGCCTTTACATCTCGACTAATTGTTTTCTTTATTTCTCTGGGTCTTCAGGCGGGTGGAAAGTCTTCCGTCATTGGAAAGGGCAACCAAATACAACCCCATGTATGAAAGTGAAGCCACTACAGGCTTCAGCCACTATTACCGTCGTTATCCCGAAGCGCCTACGTACAGCAGTGCCAGCGCTGAGGCATCCACCGACTTTAGCAGCGAGGAGATACGGCACATCTATGAAAACAGCGAGCTGACCAAAGAGGTAAGTATCTATTTCCCTCCCTGCCTCCATTTCCTTTAGATGGTAATTAAAAGATTGGTCATGTCAAGCTCAAGTCTGAAGCAGCTCAGATAAAGATGGAGAACATTTCAGTTCTAAAGTTCAGTTTCTCATAATTTCAGACGTCCAGATACTTATAATCTAAAAAAAAAAAAAAAAAAAAGCCTGCATCAAATGCATAACAAGAAAATAAGCCCGTGTTATTTCCTACTCGTCGACTCATGCTGGACGTGTGTGGCCTGCTGCAGACAATACAAGGAGCAGCGTCCAATTGTCCTTTTGAGCCTGTTCTCTTTAAGAGCTGATAAAACTGTCCACAGCTGCAGCCCAGCATCCTACTCTGCCCCAGCATGACGCAGCTGATATGTATCAAAGGCGAGAAGTGATGGGACTTAATTGAAGAGACTCGCCATAGCTCCCGGTGGCGTCAACAAAAGGGATTCCAGATTTTAATGCGTCAACATAAATATGGAATCTTAAGAAAATGTATCATGAAGACGTTGTAGACGTCAATGGTGAGCAGAACCTGTCCTTGGAAAAAATAATCCACCAGTTGTTAAAAGATAAGCAGCTATTTTTTGTCCAATCCTCAAGATGACAACTGTAATAAGAAAACCAAGTGGTCACTGGTGTCAAATCTCTTTTTAGGTAATGAAACAAAGCTGCACAGCAGCTTATCTTTTGCATGGAGACCATGTCCGTGGTTGATGTTAAATGATGTCCACTTTGAGTAAGAGACTGTACATGACTGTGTTATAAAAATCCAAACTAATTTATCAAAACACAGATATATATATATATTGCACAGTAACCGTAGACATGTCTGGTATTGGTACGTAATATCTTTGTCGGGAGAAGACTTTCATACAAATAGTGTTGGAAGTGTTGTGTTGGTGGTTGCTTAGCTGCCTCTGCGACTGGGCAGCTTTTCAGTGACTGACTCAGCAATGAGTTCTGGATCCTATCAAACAGGGCGGGAGATAACACCGGTCCATCTGTCAGGAAATTAGAACTGAACTCAAAATGGACCTTTCAACAAGATAATGATCCCCGGTTTGTTCCAAGTTATGGCCGAACACAGAGAAAGTAAAGATACTGGAAAGCCAAGATAAAATCCTTAAAAGAGTTTTAGTATAAACAATAGATTCAAAACAGGCACAAGATCGCTTTAAGTATAATTTCATATGCAAACAGTGGAAAGGGCTTTTGCACAAAGGGATCCGGATGTCATGCATGAAACTGAGCACAGTTACGTTCCATTATGTTCCACATCCATTATCAGTCCTGTGTGCAATTTCTCTGTTTTTGCTGTTTTTGCTCCCTTATCGAGTGAAATCCTGTTTTTCTGCAGGAAATCCAAGACAGGATACGCATCATTGAACTCTACGCTAAGGACCGGCAGTTTGCAGACTTTGTGCGGCAGCATCAAGCGTGAGCTCACTTGTTTGCAGCTTTTAGACCTCAGTGAGATAATGTACTAAATAAACCTGGATTTGAGGGACGAAAAAGGCGGAAGTGGGTTTGAGATACAAGAGACTAACAAGACCAAAGAGACAAAGCGTTTGTTTGTTAGTCAGGAGCTTCAAAAGTAGAGAAGTTCAGGCCATGCCAAAGTAGTGTGGAGACAGATTTATCTTTCTTAAGTTTTAGCCAGGACTGGAGCCACAGATGCAGACAAAAGCAGTCGGATTCAGACGTTACTTTAACTGCCTTTAACTTGTTGTGATGTGTGTAATGATGTCTCCCATTTTTCTTTTGCTTGTTGCATTGTTCTGTGTAGCATTGATGTTGATTATGCTGAGTTTAGTCTAGCACTTTTTCTGTAAAGTACAAAATGTGACATACAAAAGATAACATTGTTCCACTTGTTCCTGAATGTGTTTCAGAGTTCTGGATACCCAGAGAGAAAGCTCCTCTATGCACTCATAGAACTGTAACGAACAAGATACTGTAAGTAATGTTTCATTTAATTTGAAAAACAAACAATAAAAAAGAGGAATCACCACTGTATATCATGATGATGTTTGATATTCCTTATTTTGTGAGTTGCCTCGTGTACCTGTATGAATCTTAGTTTCATATAAAATCAGCTCTTATAATTTACTGAATGGTGAAAAAAGTCTTACGGTTCTTCAAAGTGATGACATGTAGCCCATGTTGAACCGTTTTACTGACGAGCTTCTTCTGTTTCACAGAGACACGCTTCCTGATCAACGATGACGCTTCCTGTCAAGACGTCTCTTCGATCGCCATGTTCCTCGTAGTTCGGACTGTGTTTAGATTATTTTCAGCACCTTTGTAACGGAAACAGTAAGTCTGCATCTGTCGCTCTTTGTGTGGGTGGGTGTTGACCATTCATTCATAAACCTCTGTGCCTTCTGACTGGGTGAGTCTCCTGTGACGCTACGGCCCGTTTCTGCTCATGTTTTTGCTGCTTAACTACCAAACCTTTGGGGAAAACCGGGCCGCATCCTGTTACTTGAACAGAAACGCAAAGACCAAACCGACGAGCAACTATTGTTTTGTGTGAAAACTGTTTATTTGCATTACCTTCTATCTGCCTTCTCTTAAAGGGGAAGAACTTATATTGTGATAGGTTTGTATAGCTAAACTGACATTTGTCCGTCTGAGATACATGTCATTTTTTGATCTTTGTCATGCTCGGATTTATTTCTTAGCTCTATCGAAGAGCCATAAAAACCTAGGTAATTTTTTAGTTATTGGTGCTATTCTAATTTTAAAAACTCCTTGAAATGTATAATGTTGTCGTTGAGTCATTTACAGTTTGAAGCCAGCACCAGTGGATGGACTCTGTTGTACAATACAAGTACAAGTCAACATTTTGGGAAATGCAGAAAAGGCCAAATTACAGTTCGTCTCTGTGTTCACTGATGTCTGAAGCAGTCAGCAGTAAAGATATGCCGAACAAAGACCTTCGATGGAATCAATTAAATCAAAGCACATGCATGTGCTTAAACGGCCCAGTCAAAGCCCAGAAAGAGCTTTTAATTTGGTGTCCATAGATGTTCTCCGTCTCTAAATCTGCCAAAACCTCAGTTATTTGACTCAGTGATGCCAAATACTTATCCACAACAAACCTTTCAGATTTTTGTTTGTAAAAATTTCTGTTATGCATTTAGTGTCTTCATTATACTTCACAGTTTTTCTCCACTTTGTGTTGGATATCAGTCACTAATATCTCTCTGAAATACCCTGATGTTTGTAATTGTAGTGTGAAAAAGTTCAAGAGGTATGAATATCTTTGCAAAGCACTTTAGTCTTGACTGATTTCCTCTTTCTTGGAAAATATAAAGCAGCAAAACGCTGCACTGTTCTGAAGAGTAAAAGCGACAGTCTACTGTCTCAGTTTTTCTCCCCTCCAGATGATTTATTTGCCTTTTTTCATGGATTTTTATAGGTAATAATAAACTTTACCTGAGTGAAGTTGGTCCCACCCTCACCTTCTTCAAATTAAACAAAATTGGTACCAAACGTTTGTGCTGGTTTGCTCTCATTTTAAAGATGCTAATAAATGTTTCCAGAGGTTTCATCTTCTTAGCACAGTTGTTTGTCACCAAACCTGCTTGATTTTGTAAATGTGGCTGACATTTGATCGTCTCTGGAAACATTTATTAGAATCTTTAGCGGCACAAACCACAATTTTTGCTGCACAAACCTTTGACACCGTTTTTGTTTGATTTGAAGAAGGTGTGTGGGGGGAGCAGCTTCACTCAGGTATAAACATTTGGGTCTCCAGACGCCTAACTAGGCAGATAAAAAGTGTTTAGATGGAACTCATGAAGGCGTTCGGCCCCGGGATTTGAATCCTTCTTTCAGTTTCATATTGGGACTATCGAGAGTCCAGCAAAAGCAGAAAGCGGAGCATGACAAACAACAGACGCTCTCAGTAAAGGCATACATAGAAACTTCTGTACTGCTGTCTGTCTTTTCAATCTGAAACTTTCTGGGTGACCGATTCCAGTGTTTCCTATGGCATTCATACACTTTCCCCTGGATTTGTTATCCTTGACCCTGCCCGTTCACGGTGTGGCCCTTCACATCTGCACCTGGTTATGTTCTGCTTGTCTACGCTGTCGGAAAGCATGAGCGTCGGTTCTCTCCGGAGGTCACTCACAGCTCCACACGTAGATCAAGCTTCAGGTTTTTGCTAGGAATAAATTGTTCTGTTAGTCATCTACCCAAGTGAAGAAAAAATAAATAAATAATTTTCGGAGCAGACCCCTGTGTCACTGTCATGCCTTTTGCAATCTGTCAGTTCAAGTTTTATTGTCTTGTTTTTGTGCGTGTATCGTGTTATTATCACTGTCCTTCAGCATTCCTGGTTAAACAGCCAGAAATCAAACACACAGTGTTCATTCATGTAAATAACTCTGCAAATGTCATCAGTCATTGCAAGATAGGGTGTTAATCTTGTACGTTTCCTGTGTCTCTTTGTTTTATATTGATGAATGTAATCAGTGCTATCATCTTGTGCAGCTGTAACGGGTAACAAAATAATTAAATAAATTAAACGCTTTATATAAACTGATGAATCTGGTTACTGTGATTGGGACGTTCTTTACCACAACATAATGCAGGTGAAGGAAAAAAACAAACACAAGTTTCATGATGTAGCACTTTGAGTAAGGACAGTTTTGCTTAAATAATCACTTAAGAAAAACAAAAAACAGAAGTAAAACTAAAATAATCACCAATAATCACCTGCATTCTTGCATTGCTCAATGCCACAGTTTTCCTTTTCCACTGGAAGCGTGAGAGCACATTTTGTCCTTTCACTGCGAGCCATAATGTTGGAGACGATTATCTCCTCTCCGGATAATCCGAAGATGAGATTAGCCTCAGAAAGTATGGATTACAGGTTCATCTGGAGCCACGACGGTTTCCAAAAAGAGTGCACACCAGTAATCAGCCTGCACATGCAGTATGATCTCATGCGCCAGGGTTTGTCTCACCACGCACACGAGCAAGACCTTGTGTAAACAAAGCATTGACCTGGGGAAACAGTGTTTCATTGTACTGTATGAGGGGAAATATTGGATCCAGGTGCTGCTCGTCGTGCCTCGACGTTGACGATAGGTGCAGCTGGAAACGTGATTTTTGGGTAATTCATCCGTGAAAATTCTGAAGTGCAATTTCTCAAAAACATCGTAACTCTAATTATTTTTATATTTGGTGCAAACGATTACTCTGAATAAATAACATCTCGGGGAATAGTAGCTCACGATACCAAACTACCATTCAGCTAAGACCGCAGCTGAAAGCTGTCAAAGAGCGGTGACGTTGCGTATGGATCACCAAACTCAGGCCATTAAATCAAAACCTAGCGACCGCTACAAGCAGAAAGTTGGAATAACCTAGTCTCCTACTCAAATTTAGTTTAATATGCTTATTTATCCATTGATGAAAACAAAGTCGAGGCAAACTCTGCCCAGGAGCGGTATCCTGGAGACCTAACAAACTGGCACCCAACCCAGGGAGTCAAAGTTCCTTGATTTAGCCCAGGATGGACCTTTTGTGATGAAAACTGCAATTCAAAAAGCAACAAATTGAGCATTGTTCAGATAGATGTAAGTTTTATTCTCAACAGAATTTTTACCCTGATGCATAACAATTGAATGACCAAAATTAATCAGCTTGTATAAGGTTATAACTGCATCTCAAAACATATAACCAGCCTGTATGAAGTTTGCATGTTTTCTCGCTTAACGCAGGCAGCTGAAAAACTAGATAAGAAATCTTAACGATACTCAAATCAAACCACTAACTTTATTAAGCAGGTCATCAACCTTCCTGTAAGTTTTGTCTGCACACTTTTAGTGGGAGCTGCAAATATTTGACATAAGCCAAATTATCAACAGGTACAATCACAATTTAGAGGATACATCCTAACTTTTACTTACCATTTCAGTAAATTGCTTCACATGAAAATAAATCAGTTTTGTTGAAGATTGTAGAAGTATCTATCAAGTCGAGTATGCCGTTAGAAACACAAACTGTTCTACAAAACCTCCTGTTACTATGTCGCTGTAAAAAAAAAACTAATACTGAAGCAACAGTGAGCTAAGTGGGACACCATCACAATACTAATGTACATTATAACTAATTTTCTGTGCTTGTAGGACAAAAACAAATTAGTTTTCAACCAAACATGGCATTTCTTTTTATGAAGTATTAGACCGAGACTCAGCGTTGCCAAACGCCTGTTCCTGCATGATTCCAGTTGGATGAACATTTCTTTGTATGTCCGTATTCAAATATATGTATCAGATTTGTCGAAAACTGTTTGACCTGGAAGCGTCATCCAGAGGAGCTCCAGCCGTCAGCTTGGTTCAAAAATACCTCTTGCGTCTCGTATACCACGGCATCTGACCCCGACAACCTCCAGCTATTCAGACCTCTGGAGATGCATTCAACATAACGTGGTGTTGATTTCAACCTGCTGCAGCATTCTTCATTTTTTATAGCCAACTTCTGCTTCTCATCCGCAAATCCCTCTTTGAGCATAATTTCAGTGATTCTGGCAATTAAAAGTAATGTGTTGCCGTTTGTCCCTGTTAAGTTCCCCGGTCTTGCTCAGGGGTCGGTGCCAGGAGCTCCTTTCTCACTCATCCTGAGACCTGATGACTTTTCAGTTCTCTTCTGTGAGTGTGATTTATTCCACACAGATGTTTTACAATGAACAATTATGTCTGTGAAGTCAGTACTGTATGTATATATATATATATATATATATGTGGAGATTTTTTTTTCTTCCTCTACAGAGGAAGAAATTGAGGAACTCAGAGGAACCTAAGTCTGTTGTTTACATATCTGCCTAAAAAGTCCCATTTCACAGTTTTGGACATTAGATGGTGATGATACTATTGCTGGAGGCCTTTTTAGTTTTCCAGGCAAAGCTCATTCATGTTTTTTTTTTTTTTTTTTTTTTTTATCAGTTCAGTGTTTGCAAAATTTTGCAGCTCCTGTCACTTTACACGTCTTAATAGTTCCTTATTCAACCTATGAAAGCCAGAGGTTTTATGTTACCATAAATGTCATCTTCCTTTTATTGGGGCAGCGTCTGATTATGTTCCTTAGCAACGAGTCAATACCGTTGGTGAATTTTCTCTCTTTTGTTTTGATCCTATTGCTTTGGTGACTGTCGTTGTGTTGTACAAACAGGCAGTGAAAAGACGCTGTGAAATCCTGTGTCAAAAAACCCATTTTGAGTTGGTGAGGCATTTGTTCCCAATTAAAAAAAAAGAAGAGATTTTCCTACACTCAGTGACTTTATTTATGGCTGCACTGGAAACAATAAATCAGGAGTGTGAAAAACATGATTTTGCCTGTCTTTTTGCAGACTTTCTGTCAGCAGTGGCTTTAGTTGGGATGGATGAAGGCAAACAATCTTCTAATGCAAAGGTGCATTTGTGATTTCTCTGGTTTCAGCAAGAACTGGCCAAAACAAACTGTGTTCACGAGTTTTATTTTATAAGTCCAGTGTAAAACCACACAGGGCATTAGTACTGATACGTTGCTGGTGATCCATTTTCATCATCTTTGTTGCTTTGCGTTCGGTCTGGTCATTGTTTCTTTGCTGGTTCTGTTGCACAATAAATATAATATCAACTTTATGTGAGCCTCTGTGGGGCATCAAGGCTCTTCGCACTTTGAGTCATCGTCTACTGAACAGTCTTCAGAAAATAAAAACCCTTAATAGCTTAAGTGTAAATCTGTGCTGCCTAGACTTAAAAAAAGTCTAAAATCAGTTCTGATAAACGAAAACAGCTCCTGCTTTCGCCATGTGTTCCGTATTTCTAGCATGTGGTAGGTTTTTTTTTAAGCCGAAGCCTAAGTTAAATTAACTAAATGTGGGAAACCAAAATAAAAACAAAAGGAGTAAAACCAAATAAAATGATTCTGTCTGAGACTGAAACCATCTTCTTTCAGATGAAAGCGAAATGCTTTCTTTGCCTTTTTTTTTCCTGATTGCTTACCACGTTTTATTTTCTGGTTGTTTCCTCCTGAAAAATGAAACAAACACATAAATGTATTTATTTGTAGTCCTAATGTGGCCCTAAAAGCGTAAGCAAAATTTTATACATCTTTTGAGGTAAATACTTATATGCAAATTTCCTAAAAATTGGGATATTTAAGTTCATTGTTATTTCAGATGCTCTTAACCATCACCACTCTGGGGATTTCACAATTTAACAACTTTCCAAAACACAGACATTTGTTTTGTTTTAAATATTTAGAATTTTCTTTATTCATAATTTTAAACAACCCAAACCTGTTTTGTACTCAAGCTGCAAAAAAAAAAAAAAAAAAAAAAAAAAACGGTATTGAGTGCACCGTTATGCTAAAACTAAGCCTCTGATGGCTCATCCAAGAGCTGGCAACGGAGAAATATTTTGCTGGGCAGCAAAATTTGAGGGAAAATAAGATTTCTTGCAAAGATTTGTTGAGATTGATGGATTTCCAAATTATGGTGTTTATTTGAAAAATATTATTGAATCAGTAATTGCCATCACTGTTAAAGCTAGTTCGAAAATAATATTAATTTCAGAACATCAGGTAATACTACAAATGAAAATAGTTTGCAATTTTGAGAAAATGTAAAACAAATTGCAAACATTGTAGTAGCTCTGGACGAATTGGTACTCCGAACTTCCTGCATTCAGGATTCGTGTTGTTTTAGCAAGAGTAGATTAAGAAAGCTCAACCAGGTTAACTCTGAAATAAGAGCAAATAGAAATAGTGCTGTGGCTGAGAGATGAACACGTTTTTCAGATCCAGTTTTGTAGAATCTTATATTGTTCATGATTTATTTTTATTTAAGTGCCATGCACCTCTGACCTTGTAAGACACTCCATATATAAAAAACAAACAAACACACAAAACAAGATGGCCGCATCCAGGTCACACGCTCCACTAAAGTATATTCTAACTCAACCAGGATCCTGCCCTCATTTTATTTTTCATGTTTTACAGACAAAACCAACAAATGTAACAGAAAAATTCTGCCATGCTTCCAACTTAAAATTTTCTCCTCAGAGTAGTAAAATACACATTCATTTGTAAATAAAATCAGAGTACAGAGGACAGTAAAGAACAAAGTGGTCCTCATCTTCCACAATAGTAAAGTCACAACAGACACAGACTGGTTCTGGTTCAGTTCGTGTGAATCCAACCTAGTCATGTAGGCAGATTCAGTCCAGTTCATCTTCAACGTTAAG